CAAAGAGCTCGTCGTAAACGGTTACGTTGATGCAAGCTTCAACACTGATCTGGATGACTCTAAGTCGCAAACTGGATACGTATTTATATTGAATGGTGGAGCTGTCAGTTGGTGCAGTTCCAAGCAGAGCGTCGTGGCGGGATCTACGTGTGAAACAGAGTACATAACTGCTTCGGAAGCAGCAAATGAAAGAGTCTGGATGAAGGAGTTCATATCTGATCTAGGTGTAATACCTAGTGCATCGGGTCCAATGAAAATCTTTTGTGACAATACTGGCGCAATTGCCTTGGCAAAGGAATCCAGATTTCACAAGAGAACCGAACACATCAAGAGACGTTTCAATTCCATCCGCGATCAAGTCAAGGAGGGAGACATAGAGATTTGCAAGATACATAGGGATCTGAATGTTGCAGACCCGTTGACTAAGCCTCTCTCACGAGCAAAACATGGTCAACACCAAGACTCCATGGGTGTTAGAATCATTACTATGTAATCTAGATTATCGACTCTAGTGCAAGTGGGAGACTGAAGGAAATATGCCCTAGAGGCAATAATAAAGTTGTTATTTATATTTCCTTATATCATGATAAATGTCTATTATTCAAGCTAGAATTGTATTAACCGGAAACTTAGTACATGTGTGGATACATAGACAAACAGAGTGTCCCTAGTATGCCTCTACTTGACTAGCTCGTTTATCAAAGATGGTTAAGTTTCCTAGCCATAGACATGTGTTGTCATTTGATGAACGGGATCACATCATTAGAGAATGATGTGATGGACAAGACCCATCTGTTAGCTTAGCATAATGATCGTTTAGTTTTTCTGCTATTGCTTTCTTCATGACTTATACATGTTCCTCGGACTATGAGATTATGCAACTCCCAAATACCGGAGGAACACCTTGTGTGCTATCAAACATCACAACGTAACTAGGTGATTATAAAGATGCTCTACAAGTGTCTCCGATGGTGTTTGTTGAGTTGTCATAGATCGATATTAGGATTTGTCACTCCATGTATCGAAGAGGTATCTCTGGGCCCTCTCGGTAATGCACATCACTATGAGCCTTGCAAGCAATGTAACTAAAGAACTAGTTACGGGATGATGCATTACGGAACGAGTAAAGAGACTTGCCGGTAACGAGATTGAACTAGGTATGATGACACCGACGATCGAATCTCGGGCAAGTAACATACTCATGACAACGGGAACAATGTATATTGTTATGCGGTTTGACCGATAAAGATCTTCGTAGAATATGTAGGAGCCAATATGAGCATCCAGGTTCCGCTATTGGTTATTGACCAGAGATGTGTCTTGGTCATGTCTACATAGTTCTCGAACTCGTAGGGTCCGCACGCTTAACGTTCGATGATGATTTGTATTATGAGTTATGCGATTTGATGACCGAAGTTTGTTCGGAGTCCCTGATGAGATCACAGACATGACGAGGAGTCTCGAAATGGTCGAGACATAAAGATTGATATATTGGACAATGTTATCAGGACACCGGATGAGTTCCAAGAGGTACCAGATAATTATCGGAGTGCTGGAGGCTTATCAGAACCCCCCGAGGGAACTAATGGGCCTCTATGGGCCTTAGTGGAAGAGAGTAAGGGCCGGGAGGGGCTGGCCGCGCCCCTGGATCCGAATTGGACGAGGGGAAGGGGGCAGCGCCCCCCCCCCCTTTCCTTCCCTTCCCTCTCTCCCTTCCTTCTTCCTCCTCTTCCTTAGGTGGAAACCTATTAGGACTTGGAGTCCTAGTAGGATTCCCCTCTCCTGGCGCACCCTAGGAGGGCCGTCCGGCCTCCCTCCCCTCCTTTATATACAGGGGCAGGGGGCACCCTAGAACACACAAGTTTCTCTTGGCCGTGTGCGGTGCCCCCTCCACAATTACACATCTCGGTCATATTATCATAGTGCTAAGGCGAAGCTCTGCGCTGGTAACTTCATCATCACCATCACCACGCCGTCGTGCTGACGAAACTCTCCCTTGGCCTCAACTAGATCAAGAGCTCGAGGGACGTCATTGAGCTGAACGTGTGCTGAACGCGGAGGTGCCGTACGTTCGGTACTTGATCGGTTGGATCGCGAAGACGTTCGACTACATCAACCACGTTACTAAACGCTTCCGCTTTCGGTTCACGAGGGTACGTGGACACACTCTCCCTTCTCATTGCTATGCATCTCCTAGATAGATCTTGCATGATCGTAGGATTTTTTTTTGAAATACTGCGTTCCCCAACACCGTCGACTCCTCCTGCAGCACCTACATGCCGCGGCCGATCCCTTCCCTGGTCGTCGCGCCGGCTGACCTGTTTGCCAACTCCGTGCGGGACCCCAAGCAGATGCACACTAGCAGAAGCAGCACCTCGTCGTCCTCCTCTCTCGGTGGGGGCGCCAGGAGCTCTGTGGTGGAGGCTGCTCCGCCGGTCGCGGCTGTGGCAACCGCGCCCGCTCTGCCGGTCGTCGTGGTCGACACACAGGAGGCCGGGATTCGGCTGGTGCACGCGCTGTTGGCGTGCGCGGAGGCCGTCCAGCAGGAGAACCTCTCGGCCGCGGAGGCCCTCGCCCGCCACGTCTTCCGCTTCCGCCTGCAGACGGACAACTCCCTCCTCGACGTCGCCTTCGCCGACCTCCTCACCAGCGCCGGCCCCCCGCAGTCGGACGAGACCGACGCCTTGTAACAGGTGCCTTGGAAGCTTGCCCAGTTCGCGCACACCATCTGCGTCAACTTCAAGTACCGCGGCCTCATCGCCGCCATGCTAGTGGACCTGGAGTCGTTCATGCTGCAGCCGAAGCGCGACAGAGCGGGCAGGACGGGTTGGCCCGGAGCCACGGGTCGCCGCAGCTGGATGGAAGGCATGGCGACACGGCGGCATGAGGCCGAGGTCATCGTCGCCGCAAAACACGCACTGGCACACGACGCAGTCCCTGGACGACCTGGGCAGCGCGGCGAGGGACGACGAGGCGGCTGCCGCCGGAGCTGGGCGCGTCCACGACCATGAGCCGGGCGCGGCCACGGTGCCGTGCGTGGAGGAGTCCAAGTGCCGAGTGCGCCCATGGTCGCCAGGAGCTGGCGGTGGACATGATGGGCAGAGAAACCTCCAGCACGCTCAACATGTTTGACGAAATAATATGCCAAACCTGGTGGGTGTTAAGCTTTGTTGTTAACTCCTAATCATATGCATGTATGCAACCAAACCCCGGGTGAAAATTGCATCTCGATGACAAGACCCCTAATGCAGGCAACCAATCAACCGGTCATCTACGTTTTTGGCCTTGTTTTTCCTTACTTAGGCCCTGCTCAGCCTAGCTCGTTTTTGCTCTCCTAGCCGGGCTCGGTGGAGAAACTAACCAAACATGCCCCTAGTACAACCGCCCAGCCATGTACTAATTCATTTGGGATCCTGATATTAATCCATAGCGGTGAACGAGAGGCATCCGATTTTGTCTCTGGAATATAGCAAACCAAGAACAGACAACCCAGTCCACACGGGTGGAAATGATGCATGGGAAGGAATAAGAGCATCTACAGCCGGACTTGGCAAATCCGACCCCTCAATCGGTCGCGGACGCGCCCGGACGCGTCCGCGGACAGTGACCGGTCACCCCTCAAAAAACACATTTCACATCTGGATACCTTAAATTAGAAACCTCAAATCCATATTATTACATGCAATGTGAAACATAATCTACGTGAGCTCGTCCGGTTCCGCTTGCCCAGCTCCGCCCTGGTCATGTCCGGAGGGCAGCTGCGCTCCTCAGAGTGTTGGTCTGGTCGTCGTTAAGGTAGGGTAGGGCATGGGACACGAGCTGGCTCACGGGACTCAAGGCCTCGTCGTCTCGCATGCCCTACTCTTCCTTGTCGGAGACCGGAACCCGAACGGTGCCGGTGGACGTCAGATCGATGATGGATCCGTCCGGGGACGAGCTGCCGACGTCCACCATGATGCGATTGCTGCGCCCGGACTGATACGTCATACGGGGCGCGGAGAATGCGACTCCGCCACGCCGACGTCCGCTGTCGCGAGGGCTGCCGCTGCCTCCCGCGCCCGGTGCCTTGCACGGTGGGCACGGCATGCCATGGCCTCGTTGGATGAGGCCCATGGTGTGTCCCTATGCTCGACGCGCCTCCGGAGGGGTTGCGTGTTCGCCAGCGTGTCCAGATGCCAGATGGACCGCACGGCCTCCGGCTAGGCAGCTATGGCCGGCCTAGCGCCGGATCCATGCCCATTTGGGTGGACGCAATGGATTCCCGACGGATGGAGTCCGAGCACAGCCGTCCACAGGCCTCCTCCCGGGCACGGCAGAGCGCAAGTCGTATGACCATCTCCTACTCGGGGCCGCGCAGGATGAGCGCGGGGTCAACGGATCTGGAGGTGAAGGACTCGGATCCGCTTCCCGCCATGCCGGAGAAGGCCTGGAAGGAGTCAAAAACGAGCTTGGGTGGCGGAGGAGGAGTTAAGGGAGGGGAGTGAAGTGGCTAGGGTTTGGTTCGGCGAGCGGATGGGGAGAAATTTATGTGGGGTCGGGTGGGCCAGCGTGGGCGGGGTCCGACGTGGCGGGCGTGCCAGGCGCTCCATATTTGGGCTGGATATGGAGGTGCCGGTCAACCCAGACGTTTGAGGGCCGTTTGAAGGGGCCGTCTGGGTCAAAAAATCATGACCCGACAATGACCGGACGGCCTGCTCAAGCGTATGAGGCTGATTTGAGGGGTTCGGTTGTAGATACTCTAACCGAGACACGGATCCAACGGCCAAAAGAACCGGATGCGCGAGAGGGCTTGAATTAGGTTTTTTTTTTGAGGGGTGGACTTGAATTAGGTGCAGTTTCTACTATCCTAAATTCTACATGGGCCGCAACGGACCAAACTCACCAGAGAAAGATCAGTCGGCCTACACCTCCTGCTGTTTGACCCTTTTCCAAACCCAAAGACAGTACTAGCAGAGAGGGAGCTGTCCCGAATCCGTCGGTTACCACGACTGCCGCCGGCGATGGCTCCCTCCGCCGACGCCGCCGCGCCCGCCCCGACCCCTCCGCTGGCGCCCCTCATCGCCGCGCAGCTCAAGTTCCTCCTCACCAACTCCAGTCTCCCCATCAAGGTACCTAGGGTGCTCACGACTGCTCCACCATTCCGGTCCCTCCTCTCACCTGCCTCCCCGCGCTCGCTTGCAGGTGGTGCAGATCTGGTCCGGATGCAGCAGCGGCCGCTACGCCGATCGCTTCACCCTCGGCATCCCCTTCTGCCTCGACTACGTCTACTGTAACGCACCCCTACCCACCCGCTCGCTGTAATGGCCTAGGGTTCGGTGCTCAGGTTTTCGCGGCTCTGATCTTGGTTTCGCAGGGGATTTCTTGTATAATGCGATGCACCCCAAGGTGGCGCCGGACGTCATATTCGGGCAGGGCGACGAGGGGTTCCAGCCGCTGGTCGATTATGACGAGTCCGGGAATGGGGGCAAGAGCTGCTTGGCACACTGGGATTACCGCGACCCCCGTGGCCTCCTCTGCCTCGTGGAGGAGCTCCGGTGATTCCCCTTTGCTTCTATGGTTCTCTATGCTGTCATGTGATCATTAGTGTTGTGTGTAATTGCTCTGTGTGCATGTTAATTGGACTGGAGGCGGTATGAGTTGGGAGTTGCGAACATGGGAATAGGGTTTCGATATGCAGGGGTGGATTCATCCATTTGACATTGCTGCGGTCTAGTTTGGATAACTAAAATCTTGCACAACCTATGTCATACTAAACGAATTGATGTGCATGTTTTTTTTGTGTCGCTTCCTCTTCTCTCAAATGCATGTAAAGCTATGTTTTTAAAGCGTCCCTAAGGCGACGCCTAGGCGTCGAAGCGCTCCCCCTCCGCTTTG